GTACGAATTTTGGTACTGTTAGTAAGTAGGCAAGAGGGATTATGCTTCCTCGGGCATGGAGGTCTAGAAGTAGATAGCAAAATTTTAATAATACTAATTTTTAGTGATTTTTCTTGGTTAGCTTCACAAGCCCGCCTTGGCTTAGTCGTTGAAATAGGCCTTCTATTTGGCATTGTATTCAACACAACAATATTGTCCGCCCTACTATACCAAATTAGACATAATTTATCAACAGCAACAATTTTATTTATTTTCAATATTTTATTTTCTAATGTTTTGTTTGTGGCTTCTTTTGTCTGTTTATTTTCTAATATGTTATCTGATAGCGATTATCAACAAGAAAAACCTAATGAGGATGTAAGGAATATTTTACTGAACAAAAATCTTTATCAGACAGAAAACCTCCTATCTTATTGACGCATAGAAAATTTTTTTGATTGTCTAGGGTCTTTATGAACTAGTCTATAGGGCACAGCAGACTAGCGCAGGCAAAAGAGAGGACATAGCGGAATTGAAATTTTGGTTAAGTGGCTAAGAGCGGTGACTACAAAATCGTTTAAAAATAGGTCGCGGGTTCGAACCTTTTCGTGGTGAATTAATATTTTCTTATTAAATAAGTTAAATAAAACATCAAAAAAGCATTCTAAATAATATTTTAAGGGTGTAAAATTTTTTTTTAACTTTTTAAAATAAAAAGTGGTAAAATTTTAAAAAATCGGATGTAATTTTTTAATGTAATTTTTTCAAATTTGGATTGATTTGGACAAATGAGGTGTCATTCGAAAGAGCTCTAAAAAATGAGTCGAACTAGATGTGAAAGAAGTTGATCCGACATTCCGGAACCGAGTTACAGTCTCCCGAAAGTTTAAAACCACAGGAGGGCCCCTAGCCGATTTTGGGGACAAAAATTCAAATATACAAATTATAGCTCATTCGAAAGAGCTCGTCGAGCTGAGTCGAATGACACTAATCATGGGGTGCGGAAATGCCTGTGGACCGAGATACAGGTCCCTAAAATTCCGATTTTCGGGGTCAAAAATTCGACTATACAAATTATAGCTCATTCGAAAGAGCTTTTCGAGCTGAGTCGAATGAGACCAAAATCTCCGTGATTAGTTTCCGAATTCACCTCAATATAGCACAAAAGCTGTTATTCCGGCGAAAATACAACTGCCTGTAACTTTTTTCAGAATCTTCGAATCGAGCTTATTTTGGTGTCATTCGAATCAGCTCGACGAGACGAATCGAATAGTATATGTTACGACCAAAACTTTCAAGATTTTTAACGAATTTTTTCATCGGAAATTAATGAAAATAATTGTGCATAGAAGTCAACGAAATCTGCATTAAAATTGGAAAAATTAATTTTTTTGAAAAGAAGAGATTGTTATCTTTAAAATAAGTCTGACAGAAATCGAATCGGGTCTGTAATTTTCGAGATATTGGATTTCAAATCCAATTACCTCGGATTTATAAAAATTACATAAAAAGAGTATAAAAAAACAAGAGAAAATTAGAGAAAAAGAGATAAATTTAGCTCTTTTTTAATTGGTTGGCATTATGCCCAGTAAATGACATTTTCTCCCAAATGTCCACTCTTAGTCTGCTGTGATAGGGTGAAGGGAACGTTCCATTTACATTAGGAAGTGGTCCATTTCATGAATATTTTACTTAACAAAACTCGTGCCTTCGTTGTAGAAGATTGGCTTGGATTGTCCCTTCACACAAGGATGTAGGCTGAAGAGACATTCATTTGGTTTGTGAGTTTAGCTGAGAGTATGTCCCTTCGGACTAATATGTAGGCAATGGAAGTGCCGGATTACCCGAAGAGGCAGGAGAAAGACCGGGTTACCCGAAGCCTGATACACGGACATTTTTGACACTAAACCCGAACCGGCGATTCGATCTCTCAAGGAGATAGTCTGGAGTAACCTCCAATTCATCGATTAAATTAAATCCTCCCCTCCACTCTTTCAGCAGCAACAACAAACAACATCAAGTTCAACCGATGATGATGAACGACCTCCCTCTGCGGCTCTTTACATTGGGCAAGTTTTATGCTTTAAAATCATCTGTTGTTGTTTAAAGGGAAATGCTTCAACACCACTTATTCAAACCCTCAGAATTTCTAAAAAACTTGCTTCAAGAGACCTTGCTATCACTTGCTCAGAATGGCTCTCTTTTAGGGTTGACTCATCTACTTGTACTTGTTCTACTTGTTATTAAAAGGCGAGAAATTTAAAAAATAAATAAAGGTAGATTTCAAAAATTCCAAAATGTCGATTTACAAAATGTCCAATTACAAATTGTCCCATGTCATAATGTCCAAAATATAAGTTTATTCTGGAATTCGATAATCACTGACCGAGTGATGCGGAAATTCCAAAATTTTGCCGATTTAACTTGTTTGCCGGTTCGACTCGGACCGAAAGATCAAGTCGGGCATAAGATACTTGGTAGGGTTTCACCGGAACCGAAATTTTGACCGGAACCGGATCCAATTTGAGTTCCGGTTCCGGTTCCCGGAACCGGAACCGGAACTTTTCTAAGTTCCGGGCCGGAACCGGAACCGGAACCGGAACTTTAAAAAAATTTGCTAGCAAATTAAAAAATTAAAAAAAATATTAAAAGAAATTTGATTTTAAATTAGGGTTGTCGGTTTCACCAAATTATTCCGTTAACCGAAACGACTAACACTTTCGGTTAACCAAAACCGAACCGTAAAACCGAACCGAACTACCCAAATCTCCTGATATGCCCGATACCACACCAATTATATGATATCCCCTTTGATCCCCGAATTTCTTCGAGTTATCCTTCATCCCACCAGATCTCTAGATATCAAATCACCGATATAAATTTTATCTCGTGATACACGAACTCACCCAATATCATCCAAATCCCATTAATCCATGCAAATTCTGTAAAATAACCTATTCTTCTTTCCTTTTTAGCGCCGCAGGCGAAAATTTCGTGAATTTCGGAAGGCCAAGTGAGAAATTCCTTGTTTTGGAAAGCCAAATCCCCAGCTATCTCATCCCTAATATATCTATCTTGAACAGCACAATCCCTCAATATCATACCCAAATCCTGGATATTACCTATGACCCTTTGAAATACATGATTTAACTAAAATCAACTTCATCCATCCACATTCTACGATATACCAATCAACTTCATTTTACAGCGCCGCAGGCGAAAATTTTGACAATTTAGAAGGAACAGGAAGCCAGATTTCTTCATTTACTGGCGCCGCAGGCAAAAATTTTGAGAATTTGTGAGGATACGGAGCTAGATTTCTTCTTTCTCTGGCGCCGCAGGCGAAAATTTTGAGAATATTGCAAGGCCAGCCGTGGAAGGCCAATCCATATTTTTGAAAAAATCAATCTTTAGGGGTGTAAAAAAGTTCCGGTTTGCCCGGAACCGATTTGAAAACCGGAGCCGGAACCGGAACCAATTTGAGTTCCGGTTCCCGGAACCAAAAAAACACCGGAACCGGAACCGGAACTTCCGGTGAAACCCTAATACTTGGCCTAAAGAATACTCCTACGGCCCGACTCGATAAAAACAAGCCCGAAAAAATGACTCTACTGTTGGCACTACTCGAAAGTGGCAACCCTACGCGGAATTTTGAAAAGTTAGAGCTCAAATTTTTGACAAATCTAGTAGGCAAATTTTACTGAAAATAATTACTATTAAAACGTAAACGGGCTATATGGATAGCAATTTTAGAGGATTTCTATCAAAATCCTCTTTCAAAAATATAATAATGGATGGCTGCATGTCAACTAAAGTTTTGAAAAAAATTTTATATAAATAAAATAATAAATATGTTTTTAAATATTAAGTAAAAACGTTAAATGAACGTTGCAGAATTTGCCATTTACTTTAATAAATGTATACCAACAAGCCTTTATATTCTAAGGAAAAAATAAACTCAAAAGAAAAATAATTTCGAAAAACGAAAACCGGAAAAATTTTTTTAAATGGAAAATAATTTGTAGGTATTTGTTAGGCTCTACCTGACTTTATGGGTCCAATTGAACTTTATGAGTCAATCTACCGTAATCCCTCCTTATGATAGTGAATAAAAAAAGAATTTATTTATAAAAATTTAAATAGATCTATGGACGGAAAAGGAATTCGGCTTTCTAAACGTTATGTAATTTGCCTATTTTCTTGCGTCTGGTTTGTACTAATTATCTCGCATATTTCATTTTCTGCTCTGCAATATTTTGCTGTTTCTGAATTACATCGTCTTTTGAACCAGTTAAAAACGACTGTTGGGTTTTATCTCTGCAATCGGTAAAGTGAACTTGAATTAATAAAATGGATACCCTTTTGGAACCTTCGTACTAGAAAGTAGGGTGTAGGGAACATGTACCTTTGGAAGGTGTCCCTTTGCAATAGGCTCGTTGTACCTTCTTTCACATTTTAAGTATGCTGAAGGGGCAAGTCCCTTCACTCTAGAACCTTCATACTAGAAAGTCGGGTGTAAAGAACATGTACCTTTGGAAGGTTCCCTTCACAATAGACTGGAAAGCACCTTCTTTCACATCCTAAGTAAGCTGAAGGGGACAGTCCCTTCGCCCTAGAAAGTGTCTGGAAGGAACATGCCCCCTTTCATACTATAAATGGGGGAGCATGTCCCTTCGTACTAGAAAGTAGGGTGTAGGGAACATGTACCTTTGGAAGGTGTCCGTTAGCAATAGGCTGATTGGTACTTTCTTTCACATCTTAAGTAAGCTGAAGGGGACAGTCCCTTCGATCTAGAAAGTGTCTTGAATGAACATGCCCCCTTTCATACTAGAAATAAAAGGGCATGTCCCTTCGCACTAGAATGTAGTGTGAAAGGAACATGTACCTTTGGAAGGTGTCCGTTAGCAATAGGCTGATTGGTACTTTCTTTCACATCTTAAGTAAGCTGAAGGGGACAGTCCCTTCGATCTAGAAAGTGTCTTGAATGAACATGCCCCCTTTCATACTAGAAATAAAAGGGCATGTCCCTTCGCACTACAATAAAGTATGAAGGGAACATGTCCTCTTATGGGACATGCCTTTATATTAAAAGTACTTAAGGGACAACAATATATTTAAGAAAATAGACATGTCCCATCGCACAAGGAACTAGGACAAAGAGTTTAGCATAACCTTTCTAATATTACAGAAACGATCGGTACTCAGTATTTAACGAGATTGGAGAGCGTTGTGATTCAATTTCCGTATTCCACGATTTTGGACATTTTTTGCTTCGAGGGCATACTTTATTTACTCTTTTCTTCCTTTTTGTTTCAATAGCAATATTTTTGGCTACAATATTTTGCCATTGGAGAGTAAATTTGCAACACGATTTTTTGAATTCGAGGAATTCAAGGAATGGGAGAAAGCGGTGATTTTTTACACAGAGAATTCGACCAAAAAATAAAATTTGTTTAGCGAGCACAGCCCTTATCGTCGACGTGAAACTCTTTTTAATACGCTACTTCTTTCGCTTGGAGCATTTTTCATCTCTGTTTCTGGTCAAAGCTTTATAGAGATTGCTGTCTTTTGGGTTAGTGATAGGAGGGATGTTACTCGACTAGCTGCTGCTTATCAGGTGAGAGAGCTATTGATTTTTTAAATTGAATCTGAAGAGAACATGACTCTTCAGACAGAGATTAGACTAAAGAGAACATGTCTTTTCAATTAGAGTAGGCTCAAGTGAATATATGTCCTGGTTGGATTAGGGAGTACTCTAAAGGGAGTCGAGTTTTGAGCAGAGAGAGCACGCGGAAATGGCTTTACTTGTCCCATTCGGACTAGAAAGTAGTCTGGAAGGTCATTTTAAGCTAAGAAGCTAGATGGTAAATTTGTTGGAGAACGTGACTCCTCAAATAAGGATTAGAATCATGTGAACATGTACAGTTTTCTTGTAGGAAGATGCCCTTTTGAACTAAGAAGGTAGGGCAACCGAACAGAAAATTTTAGATTTTTCGGTTTGATCCTGAACACAACAACCCTAAATACTATTAGTGATCAATCCTTCATTGATCAAGGCATTAAATAAAGTAAAATATTTCAGTTGTTCCGAATCGCTGCATTCATTGATCCATTACTGAATCCACTCTTAGTGGCCGTCAGAACCCCTGCAATACGTCGAAAGCTTCGGCATCATTTTTACTTAACCCTACAAATTTTTTGTGCAATATTCTGTCCTTGTTGGAGAAAACAATTACTACTACCAAAGCATAAGAGGGGAAGAGATTCTGTTCTAGTAGCGAAGCGGAGACGCCAAACAGCCTCACTCCCCTATGGTAGACCCATTTCCGTGATTGCTGCACGTCGAGCTTCTGTTGGCTCCTATTTGAGTTTTAATGGGTCTGAGACTGGAAAATGTGGCAATTTTTGGTTGCTCTGCTCCGGAAGGGTGAATAAATGATCCTTTTTAAAAAAATTTCGTTCCTAGTTTATTCGCAACAAATTCCAGCGCAAAGACAGTTGTGCTACTCAAGTGAATTCTGTGGTGTGAAATTAGAAGGAAAATTTAAAAATGAGATTACTTTTGGGAATGATTCAAATTTGTTCCTTTTTTGGATATTAAACGCTCCCCTCATACCATAATACCTTGGAATATTTTCAAAAATTATTAATTGGCATTATGATATTTATCAAATAATATTTTATTTTGAATATTTTAGTTCAATATTTCGTTGATAAAACTGTATTTTGCTAATTTATTTTCAGATTTATGGCGCGGGATCCACCTTAATTCATCCTGATTTTGGAAGGATTTTGGAAGGCCAGTTTGGCTAGTCACATAACTGGCCGATATGCCAGATTTTTGGAAGGCCTCAAGTATTAGTAAATCCTCAAGTAAAGCAAAGCAATCCTCAAGTAAAGCAAAGCAATCCTCAAGTAAAAAAAACACACATTGTCACTCAAGCCCGCTTACAACCACTCTAAAATAGATCGGTCTACACTCTACAAAAACTCTACACTCTACAAAAACTCTACACTCTACAACTCTACAATAGAAAAAAAACAATAAATACTCGATTTGGATTTAGGAAAAATCCAGAAACATTTTTTAAACCCCCAAAACATTTTTTAAAAATTATTTTTAATTTAATAATTAATTTTTGGCTAATCCTCTCCCCATGTCATGAACGTCATTGCTTTGAATTTAAATTTTATTTTATTTGTTTATTCAGCATTTTTTAAAAATTTTCATAGGCATACTAGCATGTTGCTTATTTTATTTTAAATAATTTTTAAAATTTGAGTAAATTGAGTTTATTAACGATTTTATATTGAATTAAAAATATGTTAAAGAATATATTTAATTCAATTATTTTATTAATTTTATTGAATTTTATATATGGACAAAATAAAGGTTTTTAAATATGATTTAAATCATCCCACAAATTCAAAAGCATACATGTTCCACTCGGACTAGGGAGTAGGCTGGAAGGACATGTTCTGCTCAGACTATAAAGTAGGCTGAAGGGAACATGTTCCTTTCAGACTTGAAAGTAGGCTGTAGGGAACATGTTCCGTTCAGACTAGAAAGTAGGCTGAAAGGAACATGTTCCGTTCAGACTAGTAAGTAGGCTGAAGGGAACATGTTCCATTCGGACTTGAAAGTAGGCTGGAGGGAACATGTTCCGTTCAGACTAGAAAGTAGGGTGGAGGGTATATGTCTCATTATCCGTCATACTACTTAAGGGCTGGGCTATAAGAATTATTATCCTTTCTAACCTGAGCTAGGCTTGAAGTGGCATTTTGTTATTGGCAAGAAGCATTTTTATAATTAATTATTGCTTATTATGATTACAGGGAAACCAAAAAATAATGGACAAATCTATCAGACAAACATTACAAATTTTTTCGATCAATCATATACGATCAAAGTATCAATAGGTAAATTATTTCTTACAAGAATATTGAGGACGGATCCGAATTTAGCTTCAGTCTCCGTAATTCCTCTCAATCCCCCAAACTTTATTCATTATTTTTGTGATTGGCAAAGCCCTCAACAGTAAATAAACTCTAGTTTGAACTATGAAATATTAAATTAAAATTAAATTTCTTTCCGGAAGCTACCCTTTTATTTGCTTAAAACACTCATTAATGTACTTTATCTTTAAAGAAGATTTTTTGCTTCGTACTTCCGTATGTTATTTTCCGTCCTTTTCCATCATCGGATTTATTATTTACTCAGCATTAGTTGAATAATAAAAATAATAACAAATCCAAATAAATGGTTAAAATGTGTATGTACTTTTCTCTCTCTTGAGTCTCTCTTGAGTAAAGCTGTCGGTTCTGGACCGAACTGAAGAACCGATGATTTTTCAGGTTGGATATCGGTTCAGTTTCGGATATCCGAAGATTTTCAAAGAACCGACAACCCTACTCTCGAGACTTTGAATTTTGAGAACCTAGTATTGATCAGTTTTCTAAGGGTGATTATCTGATGTCTTTCAGACGGTTTTTTGGTCTGGGACTGGTCACCCAAAAATTTTTCATTAAAAATTTCTTGTGTGAAAATTACAGTATATTCAACTAAAATTCATTTTTTACATATTTAAGGTACACCTCCTCAAATTTTTGATGTTCTACTAAGCACTGGAAATGCTGATTTTTGGGTGACTGCTTTCAATGTCTCGACAAATAAGCCTCGGTTCTTCCCTCAAAATTCGTCAACCTTCTCTTACCCCAACCCCCAAAAGTATTTGAACCTTCCCAGTATACAAGGAATTGTTGGAAATGATACAATACAGGTGTGGTTCAATTAAAAATTGGATAAACTGGAAAATATCTAAACTGAACTTGAGCCTAGGCCCTGACGTATTTTATAAAGTGGAAGGCTGATGAAAATAAAAAAACGAAAAAAGAAGAGATCCCATCTCTGTCCTGAACCTTCTTTTGTGGTTACTAAGAGGAGCAGGCCAACTTACCGCGAGCTCACCTTACCGAAGTGTTATAACTTCGTTCAGAATTATCACATCCGGGACACCCTGGCATAGTTCGATGCGCCTCGACGAAATGAATCAAACCATACCTAGCGTCCCGGATTCATCCATTTTGAACGAAGTTATAGCTCTGTGGTAAGTTGGGCTCGTGGTAAGTTGGGGTGTACCAGATTACTAGGACGTTCTACTTGGAAATTCAACTATAGCTTGGATTAAGAGAGCTTCGTATAGCTAAAGAGTTGGCTAAAATCCGAAATGGACTTCAGACTTCCAGTAGATAATTTCCAGACTGGGAGAAAACTGGTATAAAATTCTAATTTTCTTCAGTTTGCCGGATTGTGCCAAGCCAAACTAGAATTCAGTTTTTCTGATATAATTGATAATCAAACACTTGCTCAACCTTTTGATGGAGTTATGGGGCTTACATTTCCTGAACTAAGCAAGTCGGCTACAATAAATCCACTCATGGCTGCTATTGATAATAGTAAGTACAAACTTCCATTATCATAAAATCTTTACTCAATGCCTCTAATAATAAGAGTCCACTCTCATAATAAGAGTCCACTCTCATAATAAGAGTCCACTCTTTTAGGGGCGGGTTTTCTAAAATCGAGGTAGGAGTCCATGGTAAATTCAGCAGATTCTCTTACTCGGGTAAAAGAACACCACCGAGTTGAACCAGAACCCTCATCTTGGATTACCCAGAACCCTCATCTAGGAATGAGTGTAACAAGTTCGAGTAACAATCCAGAACTCGTTGTTAGCGCTACCCTCCTATTGAAATAAGGGTTCTGTTTTGAAGGTAGGTTAACCCTGGCTGATGGTATCAGAGGGTAGGTTAACCCCTACCTCGTTTTTAGAATACCGTCCCAGAGGATAGGGTCTACTCTCGTTATTATCAATTTATCAAAAATTTTTTCAATTTAGATCTATTGGCACAAAAAATGTTTACCTTGTATTTTAAAGGGGGTTATGGCAGTGAACAAAAAAATATGCCAGGTTGTTCGATAAATTACCTAATTCAAAATTAATATTTTTATTTTAAGGCGGTCTGGCTACTTTTGGTGGTTTCGACAAGGAAAATTGTGGGAAACAATTGGGCTCGGTTAAATTTTCTGGAGGAGGAGTACAATACCAATTTCCAATTGATGTAAATACATAAAGATATTAATTTCTGATCAAAAAAATTTTTAGAGCATCAGTAGTCAAGGAAAAGTATTCAGTAGCGCAACGCAAGGCAAGTTTTAAATAAGGGTCCTTCTTTTTAAACAACCCTCGATTGCCTCCAACCTATCCCTCTGAACCACCATTTGACCACCTCTTCAATTGCTTTTCTCAATAGAATTGACCTTCTAAATCAAACACTCGTTTATAGACTTCCCTTATAGACCCCCCTCTTATACGACCGGCTAGTACAGAAAGCGCCTTCGCTCACAACTAGGGTTGCCGTTTTCGAGTCGGGCCGACGGTCGAGGCTTTTTTTCGGGCTTGACTTTATCGAGTCGGGCCTACAAATATACATATTAGACCCGACTCGATCTTTCGGTCCGAGTCGGGCCTTTTTGGCAACCCTACTCACAACGCACATGTGGTCTTAGATCGAGATTACTCCTGCATTTTTAATAGATGAACCCCTGCCTAGTAAGCGTTTTAAGTGCGGCTTCTTCATTAAATTATGTAATTTGGGAAAATAAAAAATCTATTATATTTAAAGCTGTATCCGACTCGAGTACCTCAGTTATTTTTGGAAATTCAAATGTTACTGATCAAATTGCAAAACAATTTGGAGCTGTTTGGAATGAACATGATGAATTATACAATATAGACTGCAATGCAAATGCATCAATAACATTTAAAATTGGCGGTGTTGATTATACTATGACAAAAGTATACTCTATTAATTATTTTAAATGCTCAAATATAAGTCTAGCTCCATTAGAATCCCATATCAAATTTTGAAAAATATATGGGGGGGGGGGGGAGGGGGTACCCCGACTCTAATAAAAGCCCATTCGATGAATCCTTCAAAATTATAAACCCACTCTTTAATAGAAGCCCATATATTATAATTAGTGTTCGGCAAATGACCTTTTCCGGTATTCGGTATCGGTATACCGAAAAAATACCGATACCGAAAAATACCGTTTTTTACAAAAATTGACCGGTACGGTATCGGTATCGGTATACCGGAAAAATACCGATACCGGAAAATACCGTCTCAACATTTTCGGTATACCGGCCGGTATTCGGTATTTTTTAAAAAATTTTATAAAATTTTTTAAATTTTATTTTTAAAATTTTAACAATAAATCTTAACAATCTCAAGGACTTGAGCTTCTTCTAATCGATCATAGGCAAGGTTTTAATCAGCAAAATGTCCAACAATTGCTCGACATTTAGCTAATTGAAAAATACAATGCCCCTCCCATTAGAATACCCTGCTTTAATAGTATGTATGTCCCCTGTAGGATGATTGGAAATTACTATGCCCCCACCATTAGAATATCCTCCTTTAATAGAATGCCCCAGAAGGATAATTTAAAAATACAATACCCCCTCTAATAGAATGTCCCTATATATCCTTTTTCAGCGCCGCAGGCGAAAATTTTGAGAATTTTGGAAGACCAGAAGACAGATTTCTTCCTTTTTCAGCGCCGCAGGCGAAAATTTTGAGAATTTCACAAATACCGAAATACCGGAAAATACCGCGGTATTTTTTCGAGGACCGGTACGGTATCGGTATCGGTATACCGAAAAAATACCGATACCGAAAAATACCGTTTTTTTCAAAATTTGACCGGTACGGTATCGGTATCGGTATACCGGTAAAAAATACCGCGGTATACCGGGAAAAATACCGCGGTATACCGTACCGTGCCGAACACTAATTATAATTAATCAAAGTGGCCTATGTAAAAATATGGGAGGTGCGGTAGCCTGTCTCTAATATAAGCCCATCCGAGGGAACCCACTCTCTAATAGAAACACATATCTAATACTAGCCGTCTCAATGTTAGGACTTTTATTTGTGCATTTACAGTAATTAAAATTGGTTTCTAAGGATGTTTTGATATTTGGAACTATCTCTCATGAATGTGCTCTAGCTATTATTCCAATGGACTTTTCCGGTGAGGGCATATAAAAATTTTCAATTCAAATCTAATTATTTAAAAAATTATCTGTCGTAAGCCCTTTTCAATTTTAAATTCTAACAGCCTAGTACATACTGAGTCGTTAACATACTGAGGCATTAAGGGTACAAAAAACTTAAACGAAGTTCAACCATTTTGGCTCTTGTCCAGATTGAGCTTACAATCGCACCTTTAAGCGTCCAATGAAAAGTTTACGAAAAAAATTATCTCCAAAAAATTACCTCCACCGCCCCAAAATTATCTCCTCCGCTTTTGCTAAGCATTACAGCAGGCTAGAATTTAGGCGAATTAGGGAAATATTGCAATACAACGCAAACGCTAATTTCGGTCAATTTTATTCAACTGTGGATTGTTCGAATCCCGAACATTGAACTAAAGAATCCGACCGTTGAACGATTAACTAAATTATACCTCTGTGAAACTCATAAATGAGAGAAGAAAATATTCAAGAAAAGTTTAATAACCAAAATTGAAAATTTTTTAATTTAAAGGTTTTGATTGGGTGTTGGGCAGTCCGTTCATTCGAAAATTTTGTAAGTTTTCTCTTTCATTAATAAATTTTTTATGAATTTTTTAAATTAAATTTTGAGCTTAAAAATTTTAAAATTATTTTCAGGTCACACTTTTGACATTGGTAAAAATCAGTTGACATTATCACAAGTTTTAAACAATGAAGTTTAAGGATAATTGAAGTGATGTAATTTAAATTCTAAAGAATATAAATTTATTTAAATAATACTAAAAATATGTTCTTTGTATATTGTAAAGCATATAAGCTATGCAGTAGGCGGCGTGCTGTAATGTATAACACATCAGTCCGGTCAACTGAAAATGCTTGTAACTCTTTTTACTAGCTAACTCTTTCTACAAGCTAAAGAAGAGATATTGCTATGTATAGCCCAGCTGCTTGGTACTGTGGGTTATCCCTAACCAGTTTTTGCGGACATATTTTGCGGACTCTTTTGTATAACAGAATGGTCAGTCTTCCCCTTTCCTCAATTTCACTGTGGCATTATTCAATGAGAGGCAATAAAGAAAGGATTATTTTTAAATATAAATGACCGATTTTTAAAGCATGTTTGCCCCTCATTGAATAATGCCATTGAAATAGAGTGAAATTGAGGAAAGGGGAAGACTGAACATTCTGTGTATACAAAAGAGTCCGCAAAATATGTCCGCAAAAACTGGTTAGGGATAACCCACAAGTACCGCTGCTTTACTATACCTAATTCAACAAATATAAAAAATTTTTTAATTAACAAATGTAAAATTTTTGATATTAAAATAGACTAGCCATAATTCTGTTCAGAATTAACCATTAAATGTTTCTTGTTTTATTCAACAAAATTGTTAAAGTATGATTAAAGTATTACAATTTAAAGAAAAGGAAAGAACCAAATTAAGAAAAGAAGGGACATGTCCAAGTATGCACGCGGCCATAAAGGCGCAAAGCTATAACTAATTTCTGGCCCTTATCAATTTTGGTCGTAAATTACTAAATTTGGAAACGTAAAATACTAAATTTGGTAAGATTCGGAAATCTTGAAGCAGGTTATGGCTTTGCGTCGTTATGGCCGCGTTCTACTTGGGCTGTACCCAGAAAAGAAAAGGAAAAGTTTTTTTGTATTTAAAAATGTCTGTATTTAACATTTCATCTTTCATGGAGTTGCCAGACATTTGTATGCTCTGAATGGATCCTCTATTTGTTGACAGCTATAACCAGGACAGCATCTGTCATCATTAATGTCGTAACAAACACTGTCATTATCAAGACAACAAATTCGTTTATTGGAACACAGTCCGGCACAACAATTGCCTTTTCCTCTTCCCCTACATTTACTGCCATATGTAACAGAACCAGCAGGACATTGACTATTGTTTAATTGGAATAATATAAAAATTGAAAGAAAAAATAATAAAATTTTTGTTGAAGAATAAACCATTTTTAAAATTTAAAATGCTTAAATTATTTCATTTTTTATATATGGAATAAAATTAGAGCGCGGAAAATGGCGTTCCAGGGATACTGTAACGGTTCTTTTTTCAAAAAATCGAACGGAACACGATCCCGAGGGATTAATCGAGTAATCCCGATAATCCCAGTTCCTTGCTTAAAATATGGGATTTCGGGACAAGATCCCGTAAAATCCCGTTCGGGATCCTGTCCCGACTCACTCTAAACTCTCTGACTATTTTAAGTTGCTGTGTAATGAAAGACAAATAAAAGCTAACAACTGAACTCCTATTAAGTGAGAACAAAGTTGTAAAGTGGGAATGATCTGTTTTACATTATTAAAAATATTTTGTGTGTTTGATAAATATAAAAAGTCCACGAAACTTTGCTGTAAACCTTTGGTCCGCATAACATTAAATAATATTTTTTATTGCAAAAAGTGTTATATTTTTGCTGGAAAAAGCATAAAAATTTAGAAACGTGTACATTTTTGTGGTGATCGAACAGGCAGTGTCATGCAAAATGAGATTGATACCCTGAAAAAGTTCACCTGATTTAAATCGATTAATACTCAAAAAATGCCCAAAATAAGGTTCACGTATGGCACAGCTCGTTAATTAATTATCTAACAGGGATGTGATGAAACAGATTTTAAAAAGCGAAAAACGAAACGGCAGACCCTCGAGAAAGCTTAATGAAAAATCTTACATAAAGTCTCTATTTTTTGAACTTAATTAATTTAAAAATTCAAATATTACAAATTAATGATTAAATTTTATAATCTAATCAATAAATTATTTTTCATTTTTTTGTCTACGCAGGTAGAATTAAAAAAAATTAAAATTGCTTCCTTTACCACGTTAAAAAATTTTTTATTTGATTTTCAATTTTTTATTGAACTTTCAATTTTTTTAATTTAAAGTCTCAATAATTAAAAATTAAAAATTGAATTTTTAAAATGTAAAATTTTTGTCTACTTTGCTGTTTATTTAAGGAAGATAAAAAACAAAAAAAATTACAAATCAGAAATCTCGGCCGACATTCGACTACGATATAACAAGCCCGTCGATCACATAGATCAGTTCAGGTCTCTTTTATGCGTCCAAGCTGTTATGTTCGGAACTAGTCAATGTAGACAAACACTCACAAAAACTCTACCTATTGTAGAAATACTAAGGTAGACGAAGGTTGTAGGGGAATGAAGATAATCAAGAAGACTAACTTGTTTAAGGGACGAACACAATCTATAGCAATAAGAATGAGCTACCATTTGTATACTTAAATTTTTTACAACAAAAATCAGCGTTTCAGAGCTCTTTTGAATGACACCTCATTTGTCCAAATCGTCCCAGAAACAAATAACCAAGTATAAGTCATAATAATGCCGTTTAATTAGATTTTTAAAAAGGGAGCCTTACTGACGAAAAAGGCCTCTGACGAAACTCATCTCTGACGAGAAGGACCTCTGACGGAACTAACCTCTGACGAGATTACCGGACACGTTATCACCAATGATTAGACGCAAAAAAATTTAATTGGACGCGAAAAGGTGTGACTTGACAAACAAGACTCAGACTCGCTAAATTACATGTTAACTGTCCAATATGCCATATTTCTTTGAATAACTACCCTGTGTAATTTTTTCACCTCTCACTGGATAGGTGATTGATCATCGAAGCGTACTCTGTGTATTTATAAAATAGGCAAATATTTAAATTTTTTAAAATATCTATTTATGTAATTCACAAAATCTAATCTTTAGTATTTTTAAATAAAAAAATTTTTTTCAGAATTAATTCTTAAATTTTTATAAATTTTTTTTCACTCCCCTCACTCCTCTTACATCGTTTAACGTCAATGCTTTAGTTGATTTTATACCAATTATTTGTTCAGCATTTTTAAAATTTTAATTTATATACACCGCGAAGTTGCTTAATTTATTAAATTAAATTGATAAAAATTTTTTAAAATAAAACTTGAAATAAGCCTTCATTAAAGCTTTTAAATTAAATTTTTAATTAAATATGTTAAAGAATATATTTAATATTATTATTTTATTAATTTTGTTGAATTTTGTATATGGACAAAGTAAAGGTTTTTTAATTGGCTTTAAGTGGATTTCTTAATTTAAGTTTCCCTAAGATTCAAAAGTATACATGTTCCTTTCAGTCTAAAAAGTAGGCTGAAGGGAACATGTTCTCTTCGGACTAGGAAGTAGGCTGAGAGAACATGTTCCTTTCGAACCGAGAAGTAGGATGAAGGGAACATGTTCCTTTCAGACTAGACGGTAGGCTGGAGGGAACATGTTCCTTTCGAACAATGAAAGTAGGGTGAAGGGAACATATTTCCTTCGAACTAAATTATAGGGTGAAGGGAACATGTTCCGTTCGAAATAGAAGTAGGGTGAAGGGAACATTTGCTGTTCTGACCGAAAGCAAACTGTAGAGAACATGTTTCCTATGAACTCATAAGTAGGGACAGCCAAAATATGCACGGAAAATCGCCAAATATGCGCATATATATGCACCGAAAAAGCCCAAAATATGCACTAAAATATGCAAAATTTGCTAAAATATGCACTGAAATATGCAACAAAAAATAGTTAAAATATGCTATAAAAATCAATATTTTAATTTAAAAACAATAATTTAGCCTGAATTTTACATTTTAATAGCACTCCTAAAAGATTTAATGGATTTAAAACTGTTGCAAGAATTTTTTGTGAAAAAATTTTTCCCAAAAAAATTTTCGCAAATATTTTTTCAAGAAATTTTTATAAAAAATATAAAAAATTTTATAAAAAAATTTTTGACCAAAAAATTTTAAAATTTTGGTCAATTTATAGCATAATTTTACAAAAAATGCCGAAATATGGACCAAAATATGCAAAATTAGCCAAAATATGGACAAATATGCAAATATGCACGAGAGGGCCGAAATATGCAAATATATGCATTAAGAACCGGGTCCTAAAGTGCTCGGACACATGTAAAAACACCATTTTTGGGCTTCCCACATCAAGGCATATCCGCATACAAAACATGCATTTGCATGTTTTGGCTGTCCCTACTCATAAGTAAGTTCTGTTCGGACCAGAAAGTAGACTGGAGAGTCCTCAAAGACTGAAAGGTAGACGTCCTGTTCGGAGCGGGAAGTAGATTGATGTAGTAATCCTCGAACATAATACTAGTCTGAATGGAACATAGTCCGTTCGAACTATGAGGCAACATATCCATTATTCTCATAGCCATATCCAATGCAAACATATTTAACTAAATATTTTTTTGATTTAACCATTTTTTACAGGCAATCCAAAAAGTGCTGGAAAGGTCTATACGGCTCCTCTAACTGTCTCTAATGATATCTACTATATGATGAACGTCGGAATTGGTAAAATTATTTTGCTATAATTCTCTTTATTAAGTCTAACCTTCAACTATAATTCAATTAATCGTAAATTAAATTAGGATTTTGTTCCGGAAGATAATTTTAATATCATTTGGATTAAATAACTTGAACTTTGTCAAATAAAAAATTACATTCACTTATGTACTATATGTTTACTCAGGTTTCATTGGCCTTTAAAAAATTAAGCAAAGTGGGGAAATTATTTGAGGAAATTATAAAGAAAATTTATAATGTGAATGAATTGGAGATAAATGGATTTATTAAAATTGAAAATTATTTAAAATAAAAATGGAAAGATAAAAAAAATTTCAATATTACAAACAATGGTCATTGAGATAATTGACCACAATCTGATAATCTCAATATCTCAATATCATCCATACTAGGGGTGTGCCGATACGGATTTTAAAAAGCGAAACGCGAAAGGCGAAATTAAATTTAAAAAAGCGACACGCGAAACGCGCAAGTCCAAAAAATGCGAAAATACGCGAAAGGCAAGACGCGATCCATACTTCCATGCTAGGGTTGTCTTCGGGTTTTTCGGTTCGATTAGGTTCAGGTTGAAACCGACAACCCAACTCCATGCCCTTCTAATCTCAAGGCTTCTTACTAAAATAATCTGAGAAGATTTTTGAGGATGGGAGGAGTGTTAAAGAAATCAATTCTTAAATACACTAAAAAAATTCTAAACTTTTAAGGCACACCCTCTCAAAGATTTAATATTTTGCTGAGCACTGGAAGTGCCGATTTCTTTGTGCCTGCTTTTAACATCACTACAAACAAGCCAAAATTCTTTCCTAAAAAATCCTCAACCTTCTCTTCCCCAAAACCTCAAAAATATTTGAACTTTCCTGAGATACGAGGAGAGGTACAAGGCATTGTTGGTATTGATACAATTGAAGTATGTTTAAATAAAATTTTTAAACGAAGGATAAATCGGAGACCTTTACTTCTTAATAATTTTTTAAGACACTTAAATTCTCTTGAACGAGACCTTAAATTCTCTTGAACGAGACACGCCCAAAACGGCGCGAGGCCATAACGACGCAAAGCCATAACTTGCTTCAAGTTTTCCTAATCTTACCAAATTTGATATAAACGATTCCTCTCATCAAGGCTAATGAGATTTGTATCTAAAAAGATACGGACAGGTCATTTTCCACCAAGTTATGGCTTTGCGCCGTTATGGCCGCGCGCCGTTTTGGGCTGTACCCTCTTGAACACTTAAAAACACAAATGTAAGCTCTAAAGTAAAATGATCTTTTCTATCACTGAATACCGAACAAAAAAAGGACAGAGCTTATTCAAATAGCACTAATTACTGGGATTGCTATCACAAACTGGTCCAAAAAACTCCATGACCATAATTATCCTTTCTAAATAATTACACTTTTTAATAATTACCCCGTATTTATATATACAATAATAGTGTTTCGCCGGAACCGCTAATTTGGCCTGAACCGGAACCAAAAAATCCTGGAACTTCCGGGCTACCGAAACCAGAACCGGAGCTTCCAGCGAAACACTATACAGTACCCACCAGGGATCCTGCCGTCCCGATTCCCAATTCACGAAAATCGGGAATCAGACGTTTTTTTGGGTCAGAATCCTATTTCCCGAAATCGGGAATTTCATTTTTTTGTAGACAGGATCACTGATACCCACATGTATTCTCAATCATAAAATTATCATTTTTATCCATTAACTAGACAGGGAGAATTCTTTAAAGGATCCTTATGTAGGAAATCTTAATAAAATTTTAATTTTTAAGTTTGCTGGATTGAAACAACCCAAATTAGAATTTAGCATGGCAGATTTAATTGATAAACAAATCCTTGCCGAACCTTATGATGGAATTATGGGGCTTGGTTTTGCCAAACTTAGCAAAGCGGAATCAAAAAATCCAGTTCTTGCTGCCATTGATAATAGTAAGTATTAGAGTAGTCTAAGTCCGAAAATTTTCCATGACTTAGGACACGAGACCAAAACTACACCCAAAATCCACGACCAAGACTTGACCCCAAGACGAAGACTAAAAAAACCTAAAGAAAGGTCTTAAGTCAAGACTCAAGACCAAGAACCTTAGACAGCTTTAGTTGGTATATCGCACTAATAATCTAATATTATTTTATCCGCACTCTAAACATAGGTTGTTTGGGCAGTTGCTGGGTAGGAAAGAATACTAATAGGAAAATGGAAAATGAGTCTCTTCCATTAGTAAATGGGTATTGCATATTTTCGTTCAAAATTCTAGCTACGCTCCTCGGCTCGAGAGTCTCCTTCCGGAGCCATACGCAACTGATGTCTTATCGTAGTCAGCTGCCCTGTCAACTTAATCCTCCCCAAACTGTTCTCAGTTTTTTCCCTAATATTTTTTTACAACTCCAGATTTGTTGGCACAGAAAATGTTTACCTTGTATTTGAAAGGCGGGTATCCCAGTAATTCAAAAAATATGCAAGGTTATTCAAAGAAAATTACAAAATAATGCTGTAATTTTAAGGAGGTCAAGCTACTTTTGGTGGTTTTGACACAAAAAATTGTGGGCAGAGATTGGGTTCCGTTAAATTTACTGGAGGGGGACGTTATCAATTCCAAATTGATGTAAATAAATTAATTAATTTCATAATTTTTTAAAAATTTTAGAGCGTTAGTATTCAAGGAAAAGCAGCCAGCGGAGGAACTCAAGGCAAGTTTCAACTTTAACTAGTGACCGACGCGGGACGTGATCCCGCGCGGAATTTTGCGAGATACTGCTCCCGTAATCCCGCACTTTTTTCGATTTGCGGGATTTTGCGGGATTATTCTCGCGGGATCCTATCCTCTCTCTAATATAACATACCCTTCAATAAGGCTACGTTTACTATAGATCCGTATTAATCGTCGCTCAAGGGGTGCCAAACGATTGTCATTGAAGACAGCAATGGAAAAAATCACTGTCCCCCTCGAACAAACCCACTACAACAAAAGCCACTCCAATCCATGACCTCCTGACTCTTTCGCTTTCATGAACGATTTGTATCCTTAAACATCCTATTCGACTAATAGTAGGCTATCAGTCCTCTCATAATTTAATTGAAGATCCCCTTCTAAATTAAAATTTTATTTTTCTAAAATATCATCTTTTGAGTTTGTTAAAGGTCTGACAAGAAACCATATCGAAATGTCCAAAATCAGGAGTATACCATCGTGTAGAGCAGAGACGATTTCCATTGCCAATTTTTTGCTTTTTTGGCCTTACCCCCCAAATCAGGAAGTCATAAGGCTTCAAAGTTTTTGACTTTTGGAGCGGTGAGCATTTATTAGAGAGCGTATTAATTACATTTAACAATAAAAAACAATTATTTTTATAGCTATATCCGATTCGAGCTCAGGAGATATTATTGGAAATAGGGCAGTTATCAATAAATTTACACAGCAATTTGGAGCTCGTTGGAGTGATTCAGATGGGGCATACATTATACATTGTAGAGCTACCCCTTCAATAACATTAAAAATTGGAGGGGTTGATTATACTTTGACTAAGGTGAAAAGTAGTTAAAGATTACTGTAATTAATTTAATTTAAAGGATGTTTTGATATATCGTATTGCGAATAATAAGTGCGGTCTAGCTGTCGGCGGAATGGATAAAACTAAAGATGGTAATAAATTTTTCTCGGATCTTTTTGGATAGGAGGGATTGAGAGAACCTCTCTCGAGGGAATGAAGATAGTTGGAGGAAAGGCTTCTAAGTTAGATTATGAGTCCAATTACCTTTATGAACCCAAATAAGCTTATAAGCTCAATAAAAGTCCAATCCGATAGTTTCTTTTTGAAACTAAGGATACAACAAATAATATAAGAAGGATAATCAGCCCCCCAATCATCCTAAAATTAAATAAGGATGGTTCCTTAGGCAGCGGTTAAAACGCCTGGGGGGGGGTGTGGAGAGAAGATACAGCAAGATTATTGTTAGTTTCCATCATCGTCACACTTTTATGACACCATTAATTATCGGGAAGATATGCATCAGGGGTGTGCTGTTTCGTCTTCATCTTTCGCCATATTTTCGCCTTTTTGGACTTTTACCTTTCATGTTCCATGCTTCGCTTTTTAAAATTTGTTTCGGCACACCCCTGCTATGTATTACAAGTCAGGGGAGTCTGAGTTTTCAGTTTTAAAGTCTGAAATTATCACCAAAATTTAATTTTCTTTCCGATTTGCAGGTTTTGATTGGGTTTTGGGCAGTCCATTTATGCGAAAGTTTTGTAAGTCTTTTTATTAAGAATTTTATCAGTATTAATTTTTTAAATTTTTTAGGTCATACTTTTGATATTGGTAATAATCAGTTGACATTTTCACAAGTTAAATAAGAATGAAAATTAAATTAAGAATAATTGAAGAGACTATCGTACTATAATAATTATCGTAATATAATAATGTGTATTAATTAAATTGTATTTAACAACATTTAAAATTAATCAAAAATAAAATGTATAATCATTGAAAATTTTTTTTCATACATAATAGCAGAGTGAAGCAGTGCTGAGCTATAACTATTAGCTGTTATAATAAAAAATACATAATATTTAGAGTTAGGAATTAAGTGTGATTCGGTGAATTAAGCTGAATATCTAGAGATTTAGGTGGGGGATTAAGATGGTATTGATGATTTGCGGTTTAAGAGGGAGTTCAAAGAATTTTAGGGAAAAGAGAGATATCGGGGTTCTGAGGGGATGGGGAACAACCCTAACTAAGACTACGGCCGAATCGTATGGGACTGGGTCATTAGGGCGCGGGGCCATTAGGGCGCGAGCTTATAAAACAGTGAGTTGCTTATACAAAAAGTAAAATTTTGCAATGATAACTCTCATGCCTTTATCTACGTTCTCCAAAAATTTCAGAATTTTTGATCATGAATTTCGGAAATTGTGCCAAAAATGTTGATTTTCCGAAAAAACCCTAATTTTTCACGGTTTATCGACTATAACTTCAGAAATATTCGATGAAAAATTCTGAAATTTTTGGAGGAGGTAGTCAAGGATGTTAAAGAAATTTGAGAAAATTTTCATAAATTTTGGTTTCGCCTAAGTGTCAGTTTCTAGTGCTGGCGCCCTAATGGCCCCGCGCCCTTATGACCCCAACCCGAATCGTATGGGCTTTTATACTAAGCCAATAATAATAAATTGTAATCAACAAAAATTGTTACAAAATTTGTGCAGAATATTTGGTAAATATTTAATACAATATGCCGAAATATAAAACAAAAATATCTTTAGTTTAAACATTTTATAAAAAAATTATTGTGGGTGTATCCGTAAACTATTAAAAACAGCTTCTCTGTATGGCTTATTAGTTTATATACAAACAATTGGGTTAAAAATTGATGTACTAAAACGATTGAAAATAACAAAAAATATGTAGAACACAATCTTGTTTTCTTTAGCTGAACCATTTGTTTTATTGTTGATTGAAAAGAATACAAATTTAAAAAAATTAAAAATTGATTAAGAAATGGAATAAATGCCTGAAATTTAATAAAATTATACCGTGTTAATTATTCTCGCTAATTATTCTTCAAAATCTCTCCTCTACTGGACACAAATTAGAGGTCGGCGCGGGACGGGATACCGCGCGGGATTTTTGCGGGATACCGCTCCCGCAATCCCGCACTTTTTTCGATTTGCGGGGATCTTGCGGGATTTATCCCGCGGGATCCCGTCCCGCAAAGATTTTTTAAATTTTGCGTCCATACTCGCGACAATGCACATTAGTGAGCTAGTAATTATGTGGGAGAAGGAAATTATTGTTTGGGATTCAGGCAGGGTTGGTATTTAATCAAAGTATTTAAAATCTGCTGAAGGCATGCGAGTATTAGAGGCGAGGTAAATATTAGTGTGAAGTAATTAATACAGTACTTCGGTAATAAAATTATACTAAATTCTATACCAAAATTATCAAAGTTATTGTCAATTGCTTGACCAATCTTTTCATATTTTGATCAAATCCAGTATGTGAATTAACATAATAAACCATTTTAAAGCCGAAAATAAAAATTACAAAATATGGGAGTATTAAAATAAAAGTAATAATTGACATTGCCACATCCTTTATTTAAAAAATAAAAATATTAGAAGCTAATAAGCTCTGCTTCTTAAATATAAATTCACCAAGATTGCCTTTATCTACCTAAAATGCTCAAATAATTACCCAGGGTAATTAATCTTTCAACCTCCAGCTGGACGTGTTAATTGATAGAGTGGGGGTACTTTTAGAGATATCAGATAATACTTAAGAAAAATGGCTCTTGCAGTTTATTAGTTCAAACGAAAAATAATTAAAGTTTTGTTAGTTGTCGAGGCTCGCCTCGACATAAATTCTAAATTATTTTCTAATTCTTTTAATTAATAGGATCTCAATTTGTTCACGAGCCCCGAGTGACCGACCACTCAATTCCAGATGAAAGATGACCAGAATTTCCAATATTCAAATTCCCAGTTGCCATAATTTAATTTTCTTTCGCTTTAAGTATTTATTTTCAATCAATATTAATGTTAATAGCAATCCTTAGACTTTGTTCTGGGACCGTTCTTTACCCTATTTCTCGAAATTTCGGAAAGTTATAGCCAATTTTATAAAATTTCTGAAAAACGATTTTAACATTGAGAAATTGAAGGATAGTATTAGGAATGGCCCCAGACCCAGTAGGCGTAGGAGAAGAATCCCATTCTAATGAATTTTAAAATAATTCTGCTACCATTGTGTTGATATAAACAAATGGCAATGTTTCGTTTAAATATGCTTCATCAAAATTTTTAATGCCTCCATCATAAGTAGAGCAAAAAATAAAAATCAGATTATAAAATATACCAGCAATTAACACAATCGAAAAGATATACAAATAGCGTTTAAATTCTGATTTCATGTTTCTATAAATTTAATATGTTTATAGAGTGGCGGACTTCAACTACAAAAGACTCGCCCCTATTCGGATGAGCGCAATAAGAAATTCCGAAATTCTACGTAGGCCAAAATACAACGCAAGACGCAAGAGACGTAAAAATGGGGAAAGTTTCAAAATTTAGCACAAATAGCGCAAAGCGCAATACGCTCATTCCTGGCCCCATTATCGAGATTTCAAGTGGGAAAATCAACTGAAAATGTGGGTGATTTGTTTTAAAACATTATTTTGGAACATCTGGCCCATATAAAATTTTTCATTCATGATCAGTTTAGAGCGCATAAAATTTGCCACAAGATAGGACTAAAATGAAGACTAAATTTGATTTTGGGTCTCGAGATCTCGATGATAGTAGAGTTCAGCGGGATCGGGACCGGGATCCGCTGAACTCTAGATGATAGGGGAGAGTTGAAAACTAGACCACTGTATAATTTATTTTTAATCAATTCAGATTTTGGTTTACCTGTTCAAAACTAAATATCTATAAACAAATTGGGCACACAATCCATATAAATTTATAAAGTAAAAGAACTGTAAGATAAATACTATACCAGGATAAATAATTTTGTTGTAACTATTCTTCATATATTCCACGAAAATGCCGTTTGCAAAAACGTAAACTAAATTTCCATCGCCGTCAATTATATAAAGCTTAATGTTTAAATTTAATTTCGATTTTAATTATTAAGTTTTAATTATGTTTACAATATTTTAAGGACACAGGAAGAGGAATCATCACTATAAGAGAGAATCAAATATAACACT